CGCTGAAATGAACAGCCAGACAAAAGAAGGAGCAGCTGCAGCGGCATCTGCATAATTCATCCGGCAAAACTGGAGGAGCGGTGTACGTATGTACGGGCATAGGGAAAACGTAATTATATCTGTGTGCGCAGATCCCTGGCAGATGCGCCTGCAGCTATTCACATTCAATTATGAACCACTTGCAACTGAAATCTAGCGCAAGGCTGAGTCCTGATTTGGACCGTCTTCCATTTCAGACTGCGCTCCTAATTCAACAAGCCAATTTGTAGCCAATTGCGAGTGCAACATCAACGGCAATGGCGCAAAGCTGCTTCAAAAAAATCAAACTCTCAACAACTCGACAACTATGTAAGTTGCTGGCCAACAGCAACAGCAAGTGGCAACAACATCGAAAATAGCTCCACATTGCCATTGAATTACTCGTCGGGGTGACTGAAATCGCATGCACGCAATTACATGTACCAGAAAAAATATTAGCGGTAGTTGGAATATAAAATCCTTAAACAATTTTAAATTTTTTCAAGACGGACATCAAAGTAGCAGCCAATTACTTCAGGTACTTCATTTGGTTTTACCTTGATTTTACAATAATTGATTTTACTTTCACAAAATTAATGTAAAAGATAACAATGTACAATGCTTGACATGCACAATATGCTGGGATTTATTTTTAAATATTTTAAAAGATAAAAGATAAGATAAAATTTGAAATAGTAAAAAATTTAAGTATTTAAATTGAAGTATTTAATTAAATGGTCTTATTTGGGCTCTAAAAACGGTTTAAAATTCTAATTATAACGTATAAATGTTGAAAGAAGTTGCCATAAAAAGTTTGGCACGAAGTTTCTCAAAATGTAAAAGTTTGAAGTGTTTTTTGCAGTGCAGGTCATGGGTGGGGAAATACAGCTGCAACAGCAAACAGCACTTCAAAAGCTTTTGTTAGACTCCATGCGTGTGAGTGGGCGTTGAGTGGGTGGCGATTGGAGTGGGTGGCAATTGGGTGGTGGAGCGGCGAGGGTCGTGCATATTTCAAAACTAACAATTGCTACTGTTGTTGTTACTGCTGCAAACTACCGCCTTTGTTGGTCCGCTGCTAGAAGGCTAAAAACTATTTTTTCGTCGAAAGTCCACTGAAATTGATTACCGATAACGGCGAAAAGGATAATGGACTTTTGTTGCCCGTGCAGCTGGCAGAAAAACGGAAAGGGTGAAAAAAATGGTCGAAGCGAAAAACTGAAACCCAACTAGATGTGTGAAAAGCAAAAAGGGAAATTCGGCAGAAAGCGCCTGCAAAGGGCAAACGGATTGGTAAATCGGTATCCAGTTTGCCGGTCCTGCGACCAAACCAGACAGCCAGGATATCCAGCTAACGATGGGCATATGCCGGCCACTGGCAAGAAAAGGCGATTATGGTCAGAATTTGGGGAATGAACGGGTGGGGAAAGCGCGGAAGGGTGCGGAAAAGGAAAGCCACTACCACATGCCCGTTAATCTCCATAGATATTGGAGTGAAAGATGAAACGCTGGGCGAAGGCCACAACTCCCCCTTTTCCTGACCAAGCACAATTCACTTGAAAAACATTTGCGGAACAAAGCGAATAATTTGCTCGTGTTATTTGTGCATAAATTAATCGCAGGTAAGACTGTGGCCAGCCATTCCACACATAGCTCATAATTATCCAGTGGGACGCGGGAGTTCAGTCCACACATTTGGGTGGTCAGTGACCAGAGTGAACAAGATTTTGCCCTGCATTATCTGCAAAACCAACAGGGTAGCAAAAAACCGCTGAGAACAAAGAAAAGCCCCGGAAGTGAAGGGAGCTAACGCTAGAGCGGACTTTTGGCAATTTATAGCATTTTGCTCATTTGCTCATTGCTCATTTTGCCACACACCCATAGCTGTGTGTGTGTGTGCCTCTCTTTGTGCGTGTGGCAACTTCCGGTGGCATGCAAACGGCGCCAGCTAAAAAATGTAATAAAACATATTTAAAAAACGAGCAAACACAAGTGAAGTGGTATTAAGCAGGAGGACAAAAGCGAGTGCTAGGAGCTGGGGAGTGGAGATGCTGAATTTAAACTAATACACTAGGCAAAACCAGAAGAAGGTTTAACAATTTATGATAATATTAATAACAATGCGCGGTTTGGTCATTCAGCTATTCAAAATAACCAAACAAACTAGGGAATGCAACATGAAGAGTATAAGTTTATCTACAAAAATTGTTTACTCAACCAATTTATCTTAAAGTTAATCCATAAATATGCAAAAGCTACTTTTAATCCGTATAAGCCACTCAAAGCTCAATTAGAAATAAAAAGTAGAGCAATCTACATATGCTAAACATTTGTAGTTCAAACTTTTCTGCGACAGTTTATAAGTGACAAAATAACTGCCTTCGTGACGAATAGACATTAGCACAAAATTACATAAAAATTTCCTAAATAGATTAAAAATGTTTTCCGAGTGCATTTGGAGAGTGAGGGAAGGAGCAACAAAAACACAGCGTGTTTAACGAGCCATTTGCCGCTTCGGCGCTGAACTTGCTAATTGAATTAGAGCTGCTCGCTTCCTCGTTCAGTGGCTCGTTCCTCCATGGTTCACAGGATGACTATGACGTTGGGGACGAGGACGAGGATGAGGATGTGCATGTGAATGTCGATCCGAACGGAACGATGGAAATGAGGTTGGAGATGAGGATGCGCCGCCGGCAGGATGTGAGCTCTAACAACAACAAAGACTTGGGCGAGTCCAAGAGGCGGAGGAAAATCGGGAGCAAAGCGTATTTGGTTGCTAAACGCTTTGGCATGCCGCATGCCTCAGGGGCTCACCACCACTCCTTCAACCAGCCAGCCGCCCAACGACTGGGATCCTTACACCACGCCCGCAGGATTCAATTAAGTGTAAGTGCGCCGGGCACACTCACCCAAATACACACACAGCCCCATAGAGCGCCATAAAGACCAAAAGTCTTGCAACAGTATCGCCCTAATGAGCAGCAAACGCTCGTCACCCGCCAAAAAATCGGGGAAAAAACTTGCTAACTGCCGGATAGATAGTTGCATGCACCAAAATCCGCCTCTCGGCCATTATCGGTTATGATTAGCCGGGTACTCGATGCTGATGTCCTAAAAGTTCGAACGCTGCCAGTATCTTCTGGCCACTGGATTGGCCCCCAAATGAGGACGAATTTTTGAGCCGCAGATGGCTCCCTGAATGAAATTTCACCCTTACTTCGATGCCCCTAAATAAGCCCCCATTGATGTAGGCCGTACGACGAGATTGTCCGGAAAATAGGCTTTCTTGTTATGGCCACTTTCAACACTCTTTAATGAAGTATTTTTGAGTGCCCTTTAAAATACAAGCTTTGTCTGAATGTTCAAGGGCTTATAAATGTGTATTTTAAGCTTTCAATCTGTTCCGACTGCATTAGTAAATTCATGTTGCCTTATTCAAATGAAACTGCTCTCAATATTATTAGAAATATTAGGCTTCAATGGGCTACTCCTTGAAATCATAAGCAGTTTTCGTTAAATTTGTTACGAAACATAGTTTCTTACAAAAAAAAGTGAATAAAAGTGCCAAACAATTTCTTCCAGAGTATTCCACGTTCCTCGACTCCCAAATTTTGGAAACGCAGCCAATATCCTTGGCCAAATGACACGCATCACATCGAAAGCAGCAGCAATCCTCCCACAAAAGGACGAAAAGGGACTCATTTCGTATAATCGCACACCATATTCTTCGTCTGTTTTCCCAGCATTAGACTTTGTCTCAAACATTTCCTTACTTTTGGCCTCAGAGAATTCCCTACATAGACCGAAACGCCCACTCGAATTGCCACGCCCCTAATAGGGAAAGTGGCTAACTTCTTGTTATCTACGACCCACATCCAACTTCATGCTTGTGAGGGGGCGGGGAACACGTAATCTATGGCGACAGGAAAAAAGTTAGCAATGAAAGGAAATTATCCGCAGTGAGTAAACTTTTAATTAGTTATTGCTAACGCTTATTTGATGCAGTAATTGCAACTGCGTAGGATACGTGGTGGAAATAAAGTTTGACCTCTTTCGATATCGATGGGAAATTTGACAAACGCATTTCCGCCCGAAGGCCAAAAGCCGAAAGTGGAAAATTGGAAATTGAAAATGCTTCGCAGGCCAAGGACGGGGCTATTTCATTAATAAATTCCAAAGGGCCAACGAGGGATAAGGGGCGAAAGTGCGGCGAAGGGTGGTTGACATTTGGCTTGGCTCTTTGACTTTTTCTGTTTGGCCCAAGAACTAAATAAATGAAAGGCGAAGGCAACAACGAAAAATGACTGGAAACCAATCAGCGTGAAAATTGCTTACCCAAAAAACACACACACACTCTTACCAACAATAGAAAACGTGTTCGAGTTATTCTTTGGGGCGTTTGTGGCCTTCAAATTGAGTTGTAGAAAGTAATTTGCCCGACACGTGGGCAACTAATAATCTGTGGTTCTGCTTCTGGGCAATACAAAATAAAACAAAATAGGGGCAGAAAAGATACTAAATTTTATATTATATGTAACAAATACGCGATGTCAATTGAGTTTTTCGCTATAATGTAAACAAAAACAGAGTTCTGCAAATAATGGATGTCTGGATCAAGTTCAAGCCAACACCTAAAATAGATATCCACCATCAATCACGCCATTAATGGCTTCTCACCTCGTTTGGGCCCACGTGGCGTATGCGTAACTTTATTTATAGATGCCAGCACGAAAATGGGAAAATGCCCCAACACTCAAACAATGTAAACAAAGCTGCCAAGAGAGTGAAAAACAGGACGCAACAGTGTGATGCGAACAGTGACGTAAAAAGGGGGGCAATCGGCAGGGGAAATTTAAAATGGGCAACGCGCATGCGCCGCCAACTGCTTACTGTTACCAGTATTTCACAGCCAGTTTTCAGCAGCAAAACTGCTGAAAGGCTGCTGCTGCTGCTGCTGCTGCTGCTGCTGCTGCTGCTTCCACTTCGGTCATGGCAACGCTTTTGGCAGAAGCACGGTTTCAGTTCAGTTTTGGCAGCGAGCGCAGTGCGACGTAGAAAATTGCGGGCTGCCTTTCCAGCGGAGCGATAATGCCACGCGAGCGAGAGAAATCCAGAGAAAGTGTTCAGTAAAAAATAAATTAATATATAAGTTAAAAATAAATGTTTCCTGCGAAAGTTGGCCAATAAATCTCGGGAGAAAAGGTGCAAGTTCTGCGCCTAGCCAGTGGAATATTCAGTGAGTTGTGTTTTGGTGTGGCGAGCAGCATTTACTGCGATGCTTAAAAATCAATGAAAGTGAAAGTGAACACAGCACGCACACACATACACACCCAGCTGCTGTTAGCACGCACACACAAACGCTGGCCGAGCAGCGAGAGCGACAGAGAGCGAGAGTTGTATTTTGACGTCATTAATTTGCAAGTGTGTGTGCTCGCCGAGGTGTCAAATTTAGCAAATTAGCCTGACAAATTGCCAGCAATTAAAGCCAGAGTTTGGAACAGCTCAAAGGCACTAGCCCCCACACACACACACGCACACACACACTCACACAGGGGCCGCAGAGCGAGAGGCGAGATAGCAAACACAAAAGTGTTGCATAACCTGCAGGCGCCACTTTGAAAGGCTCGCACCCACACACACGTCGGTGCAGCGGTGTCCTTGAACGTTTGCATAATCTGCGCTATCTGCTTGTGGTTATGTCGTTGTCAGTCGTCAGTCGGCGTCGGCAGCTAGGACATGTGCACCCCGCGTTATCCTTTGGCATTGGCACATATTTCGCGCCCATGTGTGTGTTTTATAGCGAGAGTGTGCGAGTGTGCGAGTAAGTGTGTTTATCTTCTGCCCGCAAGCATAAACAAAAATTCATGGCACGCTAGCTTTGTGCAGAAAAGGATACCCCTATGATGTGAGAGCGGGCAAGCATACATTTCTAGGTCGGGTCGCATTTTTAGGGTTAAAGGTTGCCAGGGCAGGTTGGATGCCATTTACTTTGCCGTACGAACGTACACAGGGGAAAACCCATTGGCATAACCCATTCGACCTTGTACAGTGCTCCAAATATTTGCCACCAATTAAAAATATATCCACACTTATACGTATTCAGTTGAAGTAAGGAATCAAACACTTTCCTTAACTAATACATTTGTTTACTCACAAATCCAGGCAGTTCAGACATTATAATGAATAAATGCGCATAAACTTAATGATCGCATAATATAGAACTGTATGTTTTAATATGTTTCAAATGAATAAAGCCCTGTATTTTCTCTGTGTACCGGTGATTTGTTCGGCAGCGAGCTTGTGTAGTTTTTGCGTAATTGGGTTGGAGCGAGTCGGACAAGTCCTTGAACTAGTGCGCCACATAAACGAGCGCTGCAAGGACTTGCGTCACATGCTCTTAAAGCCGCCGGACCTTTAAAGTGCATATTGGTTTTTTAACCTATATATCCCTTATTGCCGGATTTCTCAGATAGGGCGCATTAGGCAGCTGAGACAGCGCAATCGTTATCGTTTGCCTGGCGTTATTTACGAGCTCGTTTGGGGACCTGAGACTTCGAACCCTTTGGCCGGCACAGGCCATTAACCAAATTGCCCCAAAATGCTCAAATGTTTTAAATTATTTAACTGCCACAACCCGTAGATGAGAACAAATGCTAAAAAGGGGCTGGGGTTGCCCCAAAACTTTTCGGAGGCCGCAAAAGATGGCAAACAAACGGAAGGACCTTGGCAAATACGAAATTCCAAAAAAGAAAAACAGTAAATAACCAGTGCAAGGGCTACAGCTTTGCCAATGGCACGTCCCCTCAAGCGGCTCATAAATCTTGCTTAGCAACGCTCAAGTGCTCCAAAATTTTGGGAATGAGTAGGACCACTGAAAATCAGTTAGGCATATAAGGCACATTATAATATTTGCGGTTCAGAAAAGGTTCGGCAGCTCGAAAAGGATTTGCGCAAAGCTTATATGCGGCATTTAATTATCTTAAATTAAACAAAACTGTAATTGGGCATTGGGCCACCAGCCGCCTACTTTATTAAAAAACAAACCCCAACTATCAGATACCCATTACGCAGCTAGTGGAAGTATGAAAAGGAAATTTCAACATTTTCTGGAATATAGGTAGAAATAGGGTAAAACAAAAATAAAATGAAAAAAACAATTAAAAAGTGTTTCAAATGTGGGCGTGACAGTTTTCGGCGGCTTGTGTGATATATACTTCATATGGTCAAAAACGATTCCGAAACCATTTTACCCACCGAGTAATACGTATAATAAGCGGCTATCAAAGCGGGCATTTTTATTTTAATTAAATGGCATTTCAACCCATCAGAGTACCATAGAACAAAGGGTATATTAGTTTCATGAAGGTCCTTAAAGATTTTTGTGATATAAAACTTTAAGGTTACAGCATTTCCTGATTTATCTTATCGTTTAGGGTAAACCTATAAATAATTACTTTAAAGCCACGAAATTTTATTTAAGAGTTAAACAAATTTAAATTTATTTTTCCACTCAAATATTATTAAATTATCATTATCTAGCTGTATTTTTAAATATTTTGTAGTTGCTAGCAAATATGTTCTTAGTAATACCTACATAAGTACTTGAGAATTGTAAATGCTGAGAATATGATTAAAACAGAAGCAGGAGAAACATAATGTGTTCCCTTTGAAAACTATTTCCGAAGTTTGACAAAGAAAAGAGGATAATTAAAAGTTGAGAGCCTCGTGTCATGCAACCTGCACTTTAATTGGCAATTTCCCTTCAGGAGTTCTGTTAACTAACTAGTGGTAAATTATATTGTTACAGCAGTAAATAAATAAACCGTACTCATAAAAATTTAATCAACCGTTTGGGTTTAATCTCTTCGTTGGCAGCAAAACCCCAATTACACGCTCAAACGTTAATATTAATTTTGTGCGTTGCATAAATTCCGCAGGAAGCGAGCCAACAATTTATTAATTGCACGCAAATTCCATTTACAAAGTTAAAGGGCGGGGTAAATCCTTTGGCTCAAAGGCAGATTAAGCGAGTGCAAGAATTATGATGCAGAATACTGGCGGATATTTGTTCAGTCAGGCGATTACTTAAATGTGCAAGGAGATACAAGTTTAGTGGATTTATTTGTATGTGAGATTAATTTAAAGCACTTGTTTGCTGATGTTAGTTTTAATAAATTATTATTTTTATTCTTTCTTTCCATAAATCCACTTTAATCAATTTCCGTCGATTCATCTGAGTTCAGTCAAAGTTTATCCATTCGCCACATCTTCTGACAATCAATAATGAATTATTGAAACGGCAACCATAGGGAAGGCCGACTGAGAAATGCTCCACTGAGCTGGCTTTGAGAATTTGAAAATAATTTACATAAATTATCGCAACAAAAGCCGAAATGGCGGCCAAATAAAATGGCGTTCCGAAATATTTTGGGAAGAATTTAAACAAACGGCCATAAATAAATTAAAATGAAAACCCAATTGCATTGCAGCTGCGTGCTTTTCTGCTCTTGAGGCCTCGCTCCATCCGATAAATAAACAAATTAAATATGCACATTTAAATGGCAATCAAAAGCAGCGACAAATTTGTAGGACTAGCGTGGGAATACAAAAACACATCGACATCTAAAACAGCAGCTGGCATTTATCTTAATGTGTGCGTGCCGTCTGTTAAAACAAGTTCGTGTGTTATTTGTCCATTCTGTCTGTTTTGTGTGTAATTCAGCATTGGAATCGCGAATCGAAAAGCAACATTAAATTTAACTGTGAGTTTTATTACTATTAAGCTCATCCACTCTACATTGGTGCTAACCTACAATGCGCACCTAGGCGTATACGTGATAAAATTTAATCAAAGCCACTACGTAGGGGCAGCCAGTTCAACAGCCAGCATTGTTTCGTCTGACGATATGAGTAAGTAATTAATACATTGCATTTTAAATTAATTTAGGCTAAGCAGGACTTCAGGCAATGATAAAAATGACTCAAGACTCTTGTTTACCAAGCGGTTCATCTACCTCAATTTGCCATCGATCGCCATGTGAAGAGTGAGCTGTGGAGCTTAGAAATCTCATTATTGAGTAAATTTTACCAAGTATTTAACTGCAGACAGTTTCCAGCTATATCAGCAGTTTCAGCGACTAAAGTTAACCATTTAATTATGGCCCAATGGGCTTGAAGCACAATTCACATTGCGTACATTTCAAGCGTTAGGGACTCGACCACACAAACTCAATTAGGAGGCAACAATTTTTGCTAAATTTACCAAAATACATTGTAATTCAATTTTCCTAAATGTTACACAATGCCCGACATTGCTGCTCGCATTCGGTGAAACAAAGTAAGGCTGAGCGGATCCAGGCCAGAAAGAGCAGCGCAGATGGAGTCAGAACAACTAAGCGCATTAAGCTTGAATGGCTGACAGGCAAGGGAAAGAGGGGAAGCGGGGAAGCGGGGCAGGAGACAGAGCGGAAACGGAAATGGGAGCGTCTGAAAGGAAACAAAACAGAAGCTGAGAAAGTGGCAAGTGCGGGTAAGAACAGAGTCCTGCCCGGATTTACTTGTCGGAGTTGTGCCAGCTTTTGTCTGTCAGTCAAGCCAGTCAGCCAGCTCCTCCATCGATTCGACTGGCTGCCTTTTCGCCTGCCGTTCGGTGGCCAATGTTTATTGCATATCAATTAAGAGCCTGCCCAGGAGCAGCAGTCTGCTCCGCCACTTGCGCGTTAGACACTTAGGGCTGCACAGAGAAAAATGCGGACTTGCAAATGCAGTTTCTGCAGCAATTATTATTGCGCCTTGTAGACAATTACATGATTACACGATTTTTCTACACTAAATCAATTAAAATATTTTAATATATTAAAAGACCCAGCTGAGTAAAAACTAAGTTCCTAATATACCTCAGAGATTTACTCCACTGACTTATTTTTATACGAATTTTCATCGTTAATTGAAAGTTATTAAGTAGCGAGTTGAAAGCCAAGCTGATAATTAAATAGTTTGGTAAATACTTGACAAAATTCTAAAACCTCTAACAGAGTTTTTCAAAATTGTCCCTGTGGCGAGCATTTTCTAGGATTCAAGGATGCATACCACAGTGCGTGTGTGTGCGTGTGCGTGTGCGTGTGCGAGTGAGTTTGCGTTTGAGTTTGAGTTCTGTGCTGGGAGTCCTGCGCCTGCTGCCTGTCAAAATCAACTTGAGCGTGCCATAATTTCCACGCCGAATGAGTTCAAGTAGAGCTGCCACATCCTCCGGGCGGCTTTTCCAGCTGCTCCTCCTAGACCCCAGCACTCCATCTCCCTGGCCAGCCCCTTTGGTTTTCCCGGGGCTGCTGCTTCGCACGTGTGCGCAATTAAAAATGCAGCTTGCGGTTGTCGGGCAAATACCCCAGCCCCTTCTGGCCAACCCGAAAGCAGCATTTAGCCAGCTGGCAACTGCCAACTGACTGCTCCAGTGACACACAAAGCATAAAGAGACTTGAATATGTGGCGCACTCATTTGGCCGGCTTTTCAGTTCAATTTGTTGTTTGTCGTCTGCTGGCTGTAATTAAATTAATGCTTGCATCGGGACCACCGCGGCGTATACGTGGTTTCAATATTACTTTTTCCCAGGACCGCTTGAAAAAGCCAAATAAAAAGCATTCGGCGAAAGCCAAAAGAAAGCGAAACAAAGCAACACTAAAAATGCAAGGAAAACTGCAGAGAGTAGCGTTCTGAAACCAAATCCCTGACCTGATTTCGTTTTTGCAGCATTGGCTTTTGCTTTCCGTTTAGTTACCTTCAGCGCCACTTCCCCTCGAACAGTCTGCTGTTTACTTTTTATGCCAACTTTCCATTTTTATTTCGCCCCGAAAAAACTGTCGCCCGTCTGTCTGCCAGCTGAAAAGCCAGCATCCAGCCTGCGAAAATGCCCCCATCTCACAGTTTGCCCATCCGCTCCACTTGCAAATGGCATTAGGACCATTTCATTGCTCGGCAGCGCCAGGAAACGTGCCCAAGTCCAGGTCCTGCCTTCATCCTGTAAAGTGCCAGGCAAAATCTATTTTTAACAGCTTGCAGCATCTCGTGAAAATCGCTGCGACGTCATGTGCCAACGATTAGGGTCAGCGGCCGAAGTTCCCCAATGCGGAAGGGTATTAGCTGCTTTATCTTTCGGTTCGCAAGGATAATAAATGCTCCGATCTTTAAACCCAACAGCTCTTCGAATATATATTGTTTTAATCAAATAAGGCTCGACACTTAATCATTATTTTAAGGGAAAATGTAGACAGCAGGGAACTGTAACCATTTTGAAAATGTAAGGGTAAAAGCCCGCCTTTAGCCCCTTTTTGTTTGGCGCCCAGCTTTGGGCCTTGTGTGTTTTCCGCTTAGTCGAGTGCAAGATCAGCTAACTTCAATGGCCAGAGTCAGGGGCTCCAGCTGGGACAGCGGATAGCGAGGAGCGAGGAGCCCTTCGGAGCAGGACCATAAACATAAACTTGCATTATGGCCGAGCAAATAAAACTGCAGCCAAATGACACGTACAACTGCCACAGATTCGAGGAAAATGAGGGAAAGTGTGGAGGGCGGCGAATTGTGTGCGATTTACTGCGACTTTGCTTTCGGTTTTTATTTTGTTTTATTCTCGCCCCGACTTTTCCAGGCCATCGATTTTGCTAGTCTGCGCTTTCCGTTGTTTTTCCGCCGGAGAAGAAATACGGAAAAGTGTGTCAATGAAATTGCTGTTGCACCGCTGCTGGCTCTGCACTGTCAACAGTTTTCTTTAAAGTTGCGCAAGCCAATAATAATTTATGGCTTCCAAAACGCGCAAAGCCAAAACATTTCGGTTCGAAATCAAAATGAAATCCAGTTGGCAACCGACACATCTGATTTATGTATCCTATATATAATTGAACAGCACTGGCTTTGTCTTAGCAACAATATTTGGTCAATTTCCCGAGCTGATTGCATTGATTTGCCATTTGCCACGTTGCGTATACGCAACGAGCCATAAGAGCGCACATTATGTATGCCAAACGCACACGTATGCAAATATTATGACTCTCAGGACGGGCCAATAAAATGCAAAAGCAAATTTATACAAATGTCTTCGAATTATTATTGTGGCATAAACGAGTTCTGGAAACGATTCCATGTCGTTCGTCTCATTGTCGTTTTCTAAGCGTGTGCCATGGCTGCCTACCAATTTCCATTTAATTGTTCTATCAAAGTCTGCATGACTCTCGTGTTGGGTGCACTGGGAAAAAGTTCGAAGCTAACCACAAAATTCCCCGAATTTCTTTTCAAGGGAAAGGGAAATCGAAGGGAACCACAGAAGATGTAGAGATGTGAAGAATTTGTCCGGAACAGTTCATACTTATCAATATTTTATTAAAATTATGAATATTCTTAAGTAGTAATTTTATTAGCTTTTTTTATGAATAATAAACAATAGTGAGTATATTCAACTGTAGAACATGATTAAATAATTTATCCTGTAAGATGGTGAGATTTTAAGAACCTAACATATATTTTCCACTGCATCCGTGTGTGTTTTTCTATTTGTTTGGACTGTTGGGTATGAATTATGGCAGACATAAGCAAATGCCGTCGTTACCAGCTTCATCGGCTTCCTTTGTGCTATGTCCTCTGTTTATGTGTTGTGTTTATTTTTATTTGCCGGAGGACTTGCCTCAAAATACGTCGTGTTAATGGCGAGCGTATCCTTATTACATATATCCTGGCGGATTCCCCTAGCACGTTTCGCAGCAAGTTGGCGCTAATAATGCTCCAGAACCTGCTCCATCCACAAATCCCCAGCACCAGCTGCCCCATTACGCACCACAATGATGCGAAAAACAACAAACTGGCAATGGGAGAAATTTTCCTTTAAACGCAAAACAAACTCACACACACAGAAGGTCCTGCAAATAAACAAGTTTTTCGCCGGCAGAGATCTGCCAGAGTTTTTACGGCCACAAAACAATTTGCTTTTTATTTATGATTACACGAACCCCCAGCAGAAACAGAAATTTGTATTTATGCTTTTATAAAATAAGCTCTACTGAATTTACATCTGAATACCGCACATTTTTTCCCAATAAAATTCAATAAAGAAGTACAACTGCATTTAAATCGAAATCAGCAAGCGGAAATTTGTATTATGCAAAGTAATGCTCGAGGAATGTTTTTTATTTGTTGTGTGAAAATATTTTTGCTGGTCAGAGGGCTTTTGTGCAAACATCATTGCTTCAACTTGATCCTCTTGCCTGCTGCTGAAGCCATCTCGGAGTGCCACAATTGGCCACATTTAATTGAAACTCAACTCGCCCGCCTCAAGTGGCAGCAGATGCACTGCAGCCGGGTGGAGAGGGCGCAAATGGAGGACTCGGTGGTGGCGGGTCCTAATGAAGCAACTGCATTGTCGGGAACTCCACTGGACAGGTCAGTCTGGATGGGTCTGCCGTGCCGATGGTCATTTAATGCCGGCTAAGATGCTCAACTTTAAGTTCGAGCTTCGGGTAGTCGCATGTCCTTTAAGTTGAAATGTTAATTTCTTCAAGGGGAGAGGTTATCCGCAAATATTTTATTTCCGTAAATAAGAAATCAGCATATTTAATCGACCAATTTATTTAACAAAGCCCCAAAAGGACCTACTATAATTTTCCCCTTGCACTTTGGACTATATCGTGCCCGAACGCTGTAATAATGCTGCACCATTATCGCCCAGGCCGGCTGAAGCACTTAACCACCTATGAGTCGCATCGGTTTGGGTGGCCCACTTGGATGAACCCTTCCATGGACGCCTTCCAAATGAGCGCCCTCGAGTGTGGCCTATGCAATATGCGCCGTAATAGCCTATCCAAAATCGATTTGGGGCAGCACTCGGGTCGTCTAAAAGGTGCCTCTTGAAATGAAACTATAGTCGCGCCCC